GTGAATTTCAGAATTATGTAAACTCTAAAAAGTGTAAAAAAAACATATCTGTAATAAAATAACATTAAAATAATCTGAATAACAGACGACTGAGGAGAAACTGATTTAGAGGTAAAAGTTCTGCAACATATAAAGAAACTTCAGCTCTGATCAAATCCTGCAACAAATACATGAAAAGTAACAAGAAACTTCAGAAAGTATTCAGAAACACTTTATATTTGTCAGTATTTTTATTTTGCAGGTTGCAGTTGTTTATATTGGAGAATCTGATAGTTTTTAAAGACATTTTTAAGGAATTTWGCAGAATTCTCAAAAAATATAATTTCACAACTCCAAATTCTTTCCTGGTCCAGCGTGTTTGTAGTTCAGCCTACAGACTGGTTTGATGCAACGTTCCAGTTCTGTGAACCTGGGTTAGTAAATCCGCAGTCTTGGTGGATGGGGACCACCAGTGGAACCACTGTCAGGTCTGATGGGATCAGAGTTCTGGCTGGTCCACGGTGGGACAAAGTCTAAGCCCACTCCCCACCTTTCTGTGTCCTCACTATCATGTTAGAGGGTCTGAGGTCCTGAACTCTTCAGAACATGTTTTCATTACGGATGTGTACTTTAACCATGACAGGTCCCTCTGTCCAACAGGATGGTGCTGCCTCCCCCGTGCTTCACTGTGGTGATGCTGTTGGTTCTGAGTAGTGCCCGATTTCCTCCTCACATTAAATCTGCAAACAGTTACAAATCTGTCCTACATGTCTTCTAGGCACAGTCAAACATGATGACAAGATAGAGAAAAATGAGGAGTTTAATGGAATATGAGTCAGAGACTCCTGAATGAAGCAGTGGGGTGTAAATGTGTGTCCTCTGGTATTTTACAGCGTGCACACAGAGCACAGCTCACGTGCAGAAAGTGGGAGTAAAGTGAAGGACATCACCTCTCATCCAGTGATGTTACTCCACTTCCTCCACACTACTCTTGTAAATGACTGAAGTGAAGTAGGGGTGCAGATGTGCTGCATTTCTGAAGCTGAGCCATTTCTTAATGTATGTTCATGTTTATTAGCAGGATTACTGTGAACACATCTGTTAAAAGTATGTCAGACGGATGAGGCGGTCTCATAAAGCTGGCCCAGCCCGGCTCGGCTCTGAAATACCTGACCTGTCAGATCCCTCTGAAAGAATCCAGTTGTAAAGAAACCCACATGTGAGGACTTGATGGACTCTTTGAACCAGATCAACCCAGGAGTCCTGGTGTGTCAGCAGGTCTGAAAACACACTACTTCACACTCCCTCCGATCTGCTGACATGTGCACAAATTATCGCTGTTTCATGACAAAAATTACACCACCGGTGTTCTCAGCTTCGACTCGGCCTCCCCTTTGAGAAGCATCTAACTAGGGCTGCAACTAACAATTATTTTAATAATCGATTAATCTGTTGATTATTTTTTTGATTAATCAGCCAAATC